AGTGAGCAAATGAGTGAATACATTTTTCCAAATTGCAACAATATACTAATGAACTATAAATTAATCTTATAACTACCACTAAAAAAATTTTTAGCTGAATAAATGGAAAATATCAGCATGCACCCTGAATAGCAAAGGTAAGCATTACTTTGCTAAGCCTTTGTTTATAGTTGTATATTGAGTGATGATGCCCTTTTTGCTGTGGGTTACAACTGAAGTTTGAAGTCTTCGATCTAATAGATTTAAATCAAGGTCTGTATCCCAAAACTGGAGTATTCACATTCCTCTCAAGCACACAGGAAACATTTCAAAATCTAATGAGTGACTATGCACAAAAGAAGTCTCAATCAAACCCAGATAATCCATGTCATTTTCTGAATATGATGAAAGGCGGCCGCAAGAAGTCATCTCTTAGTTGGTTCCCTGGGACTCTCTTTAATAACCTGAGCTCACTGGAATGATCTAGAACATGTCTCTGGCCCCCTGTAAGTGCTGACTAACCTGATTAGTTGATACTTGTGTCTAGCATGTAATAGAACTCCAAAAATTGAGGGTAGAATGAGATATTGTTCAGTGAAAGAATTAGGGCAGGCGTCCCCAAACTTTTTACACAGGGGCCAGTTCACTGTCCCTCGGACCGCTGGAGGGCCGCCACATACTGTGCTCCTCTCACTGACCACCAATGAAAGAGGTGCCCCTTCCTGAAGTGCGGTGGGGGCCGGATAAATGGCCTCAGGGGGCTGCGTGCGGCCCACGGGCCGTAGTTTGGGGACGCCTGAATTAGGGCACTCTTTAAGAAGTGGAAAGTAAGCCAAGGTTAACCATTTTCTACATTTTGAGAGATTCCACTATAGGTAGAGTTGAATACTAGAAGAAATATATTTGAAAAAACAAGGGTGAAAATTGTTTGAGCTTTATCCAAGCGGAGAGCATGTGGGTACCTGAGGGCACAGACTCCAAGAGTGAACAGGCACAGGATGCCAGCAAGGAAGCTGGCTAGTTAGAAGGGACAATTCTAGGCAGATCAGCCCTTTTCTTATCAATAGAGAAAGTAACTTTTCAAAGACACACCTATAGTAGTTCAAAAAGAATCAGATGGCACAGTCCAGTCATCCTTCTGAGCTGCTCTTCCATTTCGGACCGGGGTTTACAGCCCTGGAGTGGGAAACCCAAAAGGGAGCCGGGGATGAGTCAGGGGGTATCAGTCCACTGTGTCATGCCAAAGAGTTAGACAAGCCAAGGCAAGGCTGTCTGTCTAGGCAGAGTGACATGGTCAGAATTTGGGCAGGGAGAGGAGAGAAGAGAAAAGGGAAGGACTAGAAATTCTGTACAAATTCAACATGTATGGTCAGCCTACACGGTCAGCTCTCAAATACTCGTCTGAGGTGGGGGACTGGTAAAAGTATGGATACATTGGAGAAAGAAAATTTTTTAAATTGAGGTTAAAGTTCATGTAAAAGAAAAGTAACCATTTTCAAGTACACAACTCAGTGGCATTTAGTACATTCACATGTTGTGCAACCACCATCTCTATCTCATTCTAAAACATTTTCATCACCCCGAAAGGAAACTGCCCACCCATTAAGCAGTCAGTCCCCCTTCTCCCCTCTCCCCCGCCCCAGGAAACCATGACTCTGTTTTCCATCTATATGAATTCGTCTACTCTGGATATTTCTTATCAATGCAAACAAACAGTATGTCTGGCTTCTGTTACTTAGCAGATTCTCAAGGTTCATCCATGTTCTATCATAGGGTGTCAGTGAGAAAGAAATGTCTAAAGCCTGCAAAAGCTGAACCTACAGCACTGAGCAAGCAGCTGAAGAGGAGAGAAGAGGATTAAGGGTAACACCATCATTGGGCTTGGGGACTCAAAGGACTCAGGGACCGTTACTCAAATAGGAGACAGAGAAGGTGCAGGGTGGGGCGAGGGGCGATGAGTTTTTTCTGGACACAGAGTCTGAAGTGCTAGGAAAAATTCATGTTGGAGATGACCACCAGGCAGAACTTCAGAGAGAAGGGAGTGGCCGCTCCAGAGGGGCAAAGGCGAGGAGATGCTCTGTTTCATGGACCCCTGAGGCCGAGGGGATACACACACATCTGCAACAACTGCTGCTGCTCACACGAACTGTCCTTGCCTTTTTCAGGAAGTCACACATCCATTTACAAAACTCCAGAGGTGAACAACAAAAAGCAAGGCTCAGGAAAGGAAAAATATTATCCTCACCCCAGGGCTAGAATGTTTGTTCTGGCTTTTGCAAAAAGAACCCATTCACAAAGAAAGCAGCTAGCATTTTCCAATAAATATTTCCTCCATCACCTTTGAACCTTGTGTCACTAGATGCCATCATTCTCTGCTTCCAGTTTAATCTACTAGCCTCTAACCCTCTTGGGATTCCTGTCAGTTTTACGACTCATTTGAAGTCTGGTGTAAATATGTGGTCCCACCAGTCTGACTGCAACTCTGGAAGTAAAATACTTACTTCATCCCAACTGAGCAATTCTTCTCAGTAATTCTAATCCACAAAGGGAGGGCTGATACCTCTCTGTTTTCTCCTCACATCCACCCTGAGCCAGCATCAAGCCCTCTGAAGATCCTTGTCTCACCCTGGCCTTACTTTTAAATGTCAAGAGCAGCAATCATGGTTTCTTCCTCCAAAGAGATGCCAAGTCCTACACAAATCCATTTAAACATATGGAAAAGAATCTTCACCTACTTAAAATTACATATTTATGTGTTACACATTTTGTATGTTTACATATTCATACACAAATGTATACACATATAAAATTTTATAAAATACACTTCTACAGTTGACCCTTGAATAATATATGTTTGAACTGTGAAGGTCCACTTATACTCAAATCTTCCACCTCTGCCACCCGTGAGACGGCAAGCCCAAACCTTCCTTTTCCTCCTCCATCTACTTAGTGTGAAGACTTTGAGCATAAAGACCTCTACAGTGATCCACTTCCACTTAATGAACAGCAATATATTTTCTCTTATGATTTTAACAACATTTTCTCTAGCTTTATTGTAAGAATACAGAACATGATACATGCAACATACAAAATATGTGTTTTATGTTATCAGTAAGGATTCCAGTCAACGGTAGGCTATTAGCAGGTAAGTTTTGGTGGAGTCAAAAGCTATACACGTTATTTTCTCTTTTTTTCTTTAAGAAACAGAGTCTTGCTGTGTTGCCCAACTACCTCAAAGTCCTGGGCATAAGCAATTCTCCTGCCTCAGCCTCTCTAGTATCTAGGGCTACAAGGCATGCACAGATTTTCAACTGTACAGGAGGTGACGTCCCCCCCGACCCGCGCACCCACCAATTCCCCACATTGTTCCAGAGTCAATGGTAAACTATTTTCTAGACCCTGTAACTGTTAAGGTCAGGCTCAAACTGAGAAAGGAAACCATTCCAGCAAACTTAGAACAAAGGAACGGGAGGGGAGTAAAGTACCAGCAACTGTATGTCTCAGAGGCAGAGATCCTCAAGAAGAGGACAAGTTCCTCAAGTCCTGGGGGGCAGATACAAGTGTAAGTTAAGGGCCGAGGGTTACCTGTGATGAAAGCAAGCTCCCAGAAGCTAACTTCTTCCTCTGGAAAGCTGCCCCATCTCCCAGGCATGCTCTGATCACACAGCTCTATGCTCTGCCCACTTCATTCATTCCTCTACTCAGCATGTGCCAGGTGCTGTTCTAGGCATGGGGGGCCCCACAGTGAACCAGAGAGACAAATCCCCTGTCCCTGCCCCACAGAGCTCATGATCCAAAGGGGCACCAGTAAAGGAGGGGAGGGATGAAAGAGAAAGAAAACAGATGAGCGGTGACAACAGACAAATGTCTCAGAATACATATGGCAGATGGAAAGGTGAACAGGGATGGCCGGGGTGGAGATGAGGACAACTTTCATGAGTGCTGACGGGAGGGGTTGAGTGAATCTCAGCAAGGACCCAAAAGAGATAAGGGAATGAGCAATAGGTGACACAAGCGCCTGGAGAAAGAACATTCAAGCAGGGGCATGAATGGGAAGAGCAGGGAGGCCAAGGCAGCTGTGAGCAGAGGGGTGGGGGCAGAAGCAGAGAGGGGCACGCCTGCTACTTTGCTGTGATTTGTCTGTTTTCCTATCTGTGTGCCTGATTGAACTGGAGGTGCTTTGAGAGTAGGGCATGCACTGCACCAGGTACGGACGGGAGCGGACAAGGATAGGGAAGAACTGTGTGAATCAGGAAAAATAAGCAAGGCTGTTGGCAGGTGCAGGTAACATGCCAGAATTCACTGTGAGCTTAAAGCCTTCGTCAAAGGCTTTTAATTTCAACACATGTAGGACATTTCCAAGAAAACACTCAGCTTCAATCTTATAATGGAAGTCAATAACAAAACAGGATTTGCATTGCTGTATGCAAACGAAAAGAATATATATTCATTTTCCAGATTACTTTGCTAGAAAAATCATTCCCTAAAATTTAAAAATGTCTATATTCAACTCATTTTAGCTACACAGGTGGCATGCATACATTGTCTATGTACACAGCTATAACAGACAACCATAACACACTTTCCAGCTCACTGGAGAAGACTCTGGAGAAAAAGCTACAACTTAATTCTGTATTCTAGCAATAATAGGCCCCACTTGGACACACCAAAGGAATTAATGGTCAGCTCATCTGAGTGGTAATTACAAAAACTAGCTTTAGACCGAGGCTCAATAAGCCTTTTCAGTAAAAGTCCAAATAGAAAATATTTTAGACTTTGCAAGCAACACACAGTATTGAATCCATAGTCTTCTTTGCTTTTGGGGCTTTCTTTCATCTGAGTTTTGTTTGTTTGCCATGCTAGGGAAAAAAATGTAAAAACAATCTAGTTTCTGAGCCAAACAAACAGGCCATGGTGTGCCAACCCCAGCTTTCGACCACAATGAGAAGGGGACACTTACAGTTCCAAGCTCCTCCTTATTAAACCCAAGAGGGCAGGACACCCCCGCAGTTCTGGATTACCTCTTTCAGCCTCTCGAGCTCATTCTGGAGGGCCTGCTTGGATATCTCCACTTCAATCATCTGCTGTCGGAGAGTTTCATTTTCATCTTCAGCTTTAGCGCGCTTTTCCTCCACCGTCTCAAGTTCATGGTGCAATCTGACAGACACATCTTTGGCTACCTGCATTGACCCACAGAGATCATTATCAGGATATAAGGCTTTTTGTGTGCTAAGGGTACTATCAGACAATGTCAGAGGCAAAATCATTAAGTAATATGATATTATACTACATAGCAAAGACCCTGGTAATACATAACCGACCTATTTTTAAAGGAGGAGGAGATTCATTAAAAAATGAAATCAACATCCAGGCTAAAAGCCTACTCTGGCTGGTCTGATGATGGTGCATTATCAGAACTTGCTAACATTAGTGTCACTAAAGTTGATATACAACACACCCCCCACTGCTAAATGTAAATGGCTTTAAAATAAATATATTTTTTTAAAAGCCCACTTTTGATAACCCTCCTCCCTCACAGATGATCACCAAGAATGCCAATTCTGCCCAGGCTCATGTGCTTTAAGTGAGAAATTTAAATAATAATAAGCAAATGAACATTTCTGTTCCCTAAAGTAATACTGAACCCACCTGCTAACAAAACAAATAAGTTGCCTGTAATCCCAGAACTTTAGGAGGAAAAGACGGAAGGATCACTTGAGGTCAGGAGTTTGAGACCAGCCTGGGAAACACAGTGAGACCCTGTCTCTAAAAAAATAATAAAAATAAAAAATAATTCAGGCATGGTGGTGCATGCCTATAGTCTCAGCTATTTGGGAGACAGAGAAGGGAAGGTCACTTGAGCCCAGGAGTTCGAGGTAACAGTGAGCTATCATGGCACCTCTCTGCACTCCAGCCTAGGTGACAGAGCAAGATCCTAAAATAATGATAATAATAATAAAATAATTCTGTATGCCTAAGATGTTCAATGTAGCCAAGTTTTAAATTGTCTACTGTGGGTCTGGTGTGGCAAACCATTTGAATGAGCAAAGCAGTTAACATGTTTACTTTCTAAAAGCAAATGAGGAAAGAGACCTTTGTAAAAGAAATATAAATCACCCTTTATCACACTGAATGACATTTGGTTAGTGGTTTATAACTTTGGTAGAATTACAAAGATTCTTTTCCTATTATCACACTGAAAGGCTAGATGAGATTTCACAAGTACTCCAGTAATAAAGAGAACAGTATGCATAATTCATCTCTAGATAAATGATTTGATAATCAGGTCATGAGGGCCCTGCTGCCCATGAAGAAAAAAATGGCATAAAGTCTAGGATTTCTTCACATCATTCCCACTTCTCCCAGTGCTTCTCAAAGACACCTTAGACAATTTGTGATGATTTCTGCTAGCGTTAGATCCTTAGTATACAAGCCTCTCTTGGGCTATGGGAACAGTAGGATTTCTGCAACCTAGAATCCTAAATAACAATAAAAAATGTTAAGTGATATGGTCAACTTTTTAGAGTGGCCTTTGACTACATTGATAACCAACAGATTTTTTTTAAATATAGATCTTTCAGAGTTTCTGCAGAATTTCTATCCAATTGTCAGACCCATTGGCAGGTATTAATTCTTTGTAATTGCAGATCCATTATTATCATTTTTCTAAAGTTCATATTATGACAAATTTAAACCTTGGGCAGTCAAAGTCATACAACTCACATACTCTATAAGCCATAAAGCAAATCAAGACTGTTTACGCTGCAATCTGTGGAGACAGACACAAGCAGGGGAAGAACACCAGGACAATGCGCAAGTGGCCAGCTGGCCCACTGGCCCACAGTAGCCTCCAGGGGTGCATGCATCACCCCTCTCACCTTCAAGTCCTGCTCCAGGCTTCGAATAAGCTCACCATCCACCTGACCCGTCTCGGCCACTTTCAGGCTTTTCTGCTCAGCTTTCCGGAGACGATACTGCAGGATTCGACAGTTTTTATTAGCACGGTCCAATTCTCGCCGAAGTTCCTGCAGCTGGTAAACATCTTCCTCTAAATAACTGTCTCTCATCTCTTCCATCTCAGCACGGAGTTCATCTAATTCATCCTATGCAAACCAGACAGAGCAGATTTATGAGCCAAGTACATCAAAAAAGGACGGTGTGTCTCTCCTTCACTCCCGCTCCTCAATACTAAATATCGAATCCCTCACACTTCCTCAACAGCTTGGGGCCACACCTGTGTGACAGGCAGCAGAACCTCTGGAAATCTGCACATGAAATAATATAATTGAGAATCTGTTCAAATCTTATGTAACAAGAAACTAAAAAACTGGATTATTCACTGTGGCCTCTCAGAACTTATCCCACTCCCAGTATCTCCTTACAGAATCAAATAAAATCAACCCGACAGATAATTGAACCTTTTGATTCAAACCAAACATTGACCTAAGCCTTTATCTCTAAGGCATAATCTAGGCACTAAGATAATCATACGGATACTGCCTTCAAAGAACATAAACTTCAGTAGGATAACAACTGCTAATTGCCCTGGAACTATAACATACCTTCAAATGTCCCTAAAATTCTGTTCCACAAGGCACACTTCAGCATTGACCAAGCAACTCCATCCACAAAGAAGACAGTTTCCATTATTTTAAATAAACATTGGGTTTGTTTTTTTCCCATTCACCTATCCTATATTTCCCACACCCCCACTCTCTGCTGTCCACAGGACCGCACCCTGAATACAGGAGAACCCAAGGAGTCATTCCTGGCTCCCCATCCCCTTCCATTCTGCAGCCAAACCCTAGCCAGAGCTGTGCCCCATCCAGGCCGGTCACCCTGGTCCAGCTCTCCACCGCTGGGGGAGGGGAGCCGCACACAGATGTGAGTGGAGACACACAGGCTCCTGCTGCCCAACTGGCCCTCTAATCCTCCTACAGTTTGTCCCCCTACCCAGCAGAATGATCCTTGTAATGTACAAATCAGATCACCTCACCCCCTACTCAAACCCTCCAGAGGCTTCCTTCTTTCCAGGCCTCCCAGGGCCTCCTGGCCACACTCCTGGCTGAAGAAGCAGCCCCTTTGTTTCTCCAGGCCTCAAGACCTCACCTGCTATTCGCGCTTCTGAAAACACTCCTGGTTCCAGATCTCTGCGGAGCTCATTCCATCATATAATCTAAGGTCATGCAAAGCCTCCCCTGGCCACCCTCATCAGTCCCTGAGTCTCTAGTCTCTTGCTGGCTCTATTTTCTTCCCGCCTCTTAGCACCATCTAATAGTATCTGTATTTTTTCCTACTAATTGTCTGTCACCCACACTAACAAGGTAAGCTTCAGAGGGGAGCAAGCTTATCTGTCTTGCTCCTCTCTGCATCCAGAGCAGCACAGAGCACAGAGTAGGCCGTCAATAAATATTGCTAAATGAATACACAGGAGCACCAGTGACCACTTTCAAACACCAAGTCAGAAAGGTGACTAACATCAGACACAACTGCAAGCTCACTTAGTCCTAGTCTTGCAGCCTACTGATGAAAACTTCTTCCCAAACCCACAGATGTAGCAGCAGGTATGAGATATCCACTCTACTGAAATGTTATACAAGATTTTAAGGAGGAACAACATGGAAGGAGGAAGATGAAGAGAACAGTCTAGGGATTTTCTTGACTAGTTTCATAACTGATAGTTTCAGATGCCTCCAGAATAGCAGGCACTCAGTTATCCCCATTTACTTTACTAAATTAATATTAAGGTTCAAGGAAAAAAAATCTCTCCTATACTTAGACACCCCAAATATCCATTCTCATCCTGCTATTCAGTTTGTTCCCGGATTCTTACCACTTATGCGAATCCTGTATTTGTTCTTAAAACCAGGGACTGACTAACAATAAAAAACAAGTTGCCCAACATCAGAGCCTCAAACCAAAAAAAAAAAAAAGAAGAGAAAAAAAATCTCCTGAAGATCTGTTTATCCTAGGTAAGATTAAGTACAAGAAATACAACAAATAAATTGGGAATCCTTATGGGAAAATAAGGGTTGGCACAAAATGGGGTGACGATGATTTTCAGTCAACCTCAGCTGTACACAACGGTCTACTGGAAAGGACACTGACACAGCAATTCATCCCCCAATCCAGCTGTAGGTTCTCTCCACTCTGCCTGTGCTATCCCATTAAGAGAATGAGCTACTGACTTGACCAGGACTCAGCTGAAGCCCGTTTCAATAGGCTACCAAGGAGAACAGATGTTAAAGAAGAAAGCTTCACCAACTTCCCAATAGTCAAATGCACAAAATGTGTTTCTTCTTGGCTTCTAAGTGTTCTTACAGAATTTCTATACCAATGATGAAAACATTATTAAAAATATAAAATGTCCTAATATGTCTTAAGAAAGATCAATCTGAACATTGAAAATGCTGTGAACTCTAACCAAGTTTCACTTCTTTTTACCTCCATGGAAATCTCTCCTGATAAATCCTGGTCCTCGTCGGAAGATCTGCTGGAACTGGAAGTTACTGGACTGAGCGTAAGAGCTGGTCAGCTGAACATACATGAACAGAATGGGTGGTTTGGGTTCCTTAGGGGGCCAGAGAACACAGCTCTGTCAGGACAGTGCTCACCAACCTTCCGCAAACCTTCCACAAAGAGGAGGTTGTCACTGGTGCCTCAGCACTGAGGCTTTGATGATGCCCTATGGAAGCTGTTCCCGTGCCCTACCCACTCCTAGAGGAGGTCAACTGCAGACTGAAAGCTTTAAAATGAGCCTTGTGGTTGTCACTCTTCCGATAGAGTGGGAAGTAGGTTCTGAATCTTCAAAAATCAAGGTCAAGTTTGACGCACACCCCATCCATGAATCCAATGGATCAGACTTAGAGAAAGAACCTAATCTCAATGCTTGTTTCTGAGTAAAAAGGTAATTGTTTCACTGAGTCATTAATAAAAATCAGTTCAATCCAAGCAGTAATCACCAAATGTACAACACCAAATGTACAACACTATGTCAATATACATATATGTATATCCGTACATACAAATATACAGTGACTTTGGCCATTCTGTTCATGAAAAGAATTGTGATTGATTTTCCTTCTAGAAGGCATGCTGAAGTCATTAATGCCTAGGATTATCTGTAACTCAGACAAAAGTTTTTGAAATGCAATATAGGCCTAAAATGCATGATACAGCCTCCAGGTACCAAACGTCTCTAGCTTTCAGACTTTGTAACAGGAGAGCCCACAGCCACCCTAATGTTAAATGCTGCATTGTCATAGAGATGTGTAAACAACCATAACAGGCCACAAAAACTGTTCAAGGGCTAGATGCACCCGCACCTCCACATCGCTGAGCAGGCCAGATGTAAATAGCAGTATTTTTTGTCATAAATAATAACTAACATTATTTGTACTGAAAAGAAATGAGGGAGAGATCCTATGATACAGTTTGGCTGTGTCCCCACTCAAATCTCATCTTGAATTGTCACTCCCATAATCCTCACGTGTCATAGAAGGGACCCAGTGAGAGGTAACTGAATCATGAGGGCGGCTTTTTCCTGTGCTGTTCTCATGAGAGTGAATAAGTCTCAAAAGAGATCTGATAGTTTTATAAAGGGCAGTTCCCCTGCACACATTCTTACCTGCCCCCATGTAAGACGTGTCTCTGCTCCTCCTTCGCCTTCCACCGTGATTATAAGGCCTCCCCAGCCAGGTGAAACTGTTGAGTCCATTAAACCCTTTTTTCTTTATAAATTATGGGTCTATTGTATTTCTTCATAGAAGTATAAAAATGGACTAATATAGCATAACTGCATGTATTTAAATCACTATTCTTATAACTCATATTTTATCTAAATTTATAGAACAGATATCCTTAATTAAGCACCTCATCCTCATTACTAACCCTACACTAACTCTGTCAGGAACATATTATACAATTTATAGACAAAAAACCCAAACCGAGGCTAGTTACGTGTGTCCAAAGCTTCACATCTAGTAAACTGAAGCCAAACTGCAAATCCAGGCCTGTCTGCTTTCAAACATACACTCTTCCAGGTAAATACTGTAAGCTACAACCTGGACAAATGAAACAATAACAGACCTTCGACTGTACTTCTAAAAGCCCACCATCAGCGTAAACCAATAGAAGTAGCCTAACATTTCACATTTACAGCTCCGCAAATGACAACACACAAGCATAGCCATTAGAGCAACTGGTTCTTAGGAAAACACTGCAATGTGCGCAAAGACATTCGTGCCCCTCCTTCCCCCGTTTTCTTTAAAGAGACAGGGTCTTACCCTGTGATCCAACCTGGAGCACAGTGGTGCAACCACGGCTCACTACCACCTTGAGCTCCTGGGCTCAAGTGATTTTCCCGCCTCAGCCTCCTGAGTAGCTGGGACTACAAGCATATGCGACCATGCCTGGCTAATACTCCCATTTTAAAATGAGGAAACTGAGATTCTAAAAGTATAAATGGCTTTCCATCATTGCTCTGTTGCAGAGACAGGATCAGGGCCAGTGTTTCAACTCTTTCCAGAGAGCCTAGAAAAAAGTAATTTTCAGGTTCAGTGAAAAGAAGTTTAAGAAAAGCAAATTATAAACCATGTAAGCTGGCAGCAGCCATTTAAAAAGCAAAAACTATGATTACTGGAATTAAGGTCATGATGGATAGTGATTTTCAAACTAACATTACATTAATTTTCTGGCGGCATGCTCCAGTTTAGAAAACTGTAATGCAGAACCTTAACAACAACTGCCAACTAAAAATTTAAGAAAAGCAAATCGAGCAGAGCATATGATGTTTCTGACAGGTGTAATTTAGAGATAGTAAATAAAATTGGAAAATTGCTGTTGTCTTTTCATACACAGAAATTAATAAGAAAAAACTGTCCTTAATCAACAGCTTTTTACCGAATTAACATCAAGTCTGGAGGATACTTAAATGTTAGATCATTATCTCACTGAAAAGCTAACCCAATTTTAACTAAATATCTTTTTAAGTTTTGTATATAAAATGAAAACTTGAAGTACTGTGAAGCTGCCCAGTTGACTATTCCCCGTTGCCTATGGTTGAGAAATCAAGCCTTATCATGTATCTCAAATTAGAGGAATAATGAGGTACCATGTGTACACTAGAGTAAACCAAGATTAAAATTACACGTTTCGACGAAAACCTCTAAAGGACAGTTTTATCCATGAATATATAATAAAAACTGAATCCACAGCTTCTTAGAATAACTGATAAAAACTCTTGATCATATTAATAATTATATGAAAATCTTTCTTTTAAATACCCAAAATCAGTAACTATCTCTATTTTAGTACTTCCTCTTTAAATAGACTCAATTTGGATGGTGGAAGCATGCGTCTGACTACTGCTGCAATAATTCTATCTTCCGGGCAGACAAAAACTCCTGTCTTTTGTAACAGACAAATAATTCACCTCATCTCCCTCCAGACAAGGGAAATGTTCTCGAAGAGTCCCAGCTGTAGCTAAGGAGGTGCAGGGCCACTTCCCCTGTCTACCAGCTGATGGTCCAGCTATCAGCTGGTGGCCACTGCCCTGTCTACATTAACTTGCCACTGAAAATGATCATAGCTGCTCTTTCACTGGCTGAATACAGAGTGGGTATGGACAGTGAATGTAAAGAATGAATGGGGAATACTGTCCATGTTAAACCTTCCGAAAGAGGCAGGAGAAGGAGGCGGGGAGCAAGGAGGTGCTGAGACACCTCTCCAAGTGCCGCCTTCCAGGCCACATTGAGCGCCTGGCATCTGGGCAGCCCAGCAGCCAAATGTCACAAACCAGGGCAGCGCTTGAAACTCAAAAGGCTACCATAAATGAGAAGTAGGATGGTAAGCTTGGATCAGCAGTGAGACACTGCAGCCTGTAAAACCGAAGCTCAGCCTCTCCCTTAGGAAATCATTCCTCTCCAGGAAGCCAATTTTGTCTGCCCCTGTAGCTAGCACCAACCTGTTCTTATGAAATAACAGAGAAAGCAGAGCAAAAAGAAACAGCCCTTCCCACCCCAATCCTCACCCACCCTGCAGGAGGTCAGCATGGCAAGAGGACACTATTTTGGGGTGGGGGAGGTGTGGGTTATAACCACTAAAAGCATTTTCAAAATAGGCTAGTGCCAAGTGATTAAATCCGCCTGAAAAGCCTGTGGAAACAGAGAACATAATTAATATGTTGACAATGAGCACTCTGGCTTGTCTGATTGTCTCAGAGCACTCAAGCAAAACACAGTCCTGGACACCTGGCAGGAAAGGAACACACCAGCACTTTATCACAGTCCTCAACATTAAGAAAATGCCTAGGTTTTAAGTGAGAAAGAAGCCAAGGCCTTTGGATAACTCAACTGAAGTGCTCAGCTGAATGTCTGAATACTTCCAAATGTATTTGAGTTTATCAGAGGTCAAAGGACAACAGTGCTTTTCTGTCTGTGTTTTCGAGCAAAAGCCAGCTACCTGAATTGAGGTTTTAGGTTTTGTTTTGTTTTGTTTTGTTTTTGCATTTTTCACCTAGTCACTCGGGCACCATTTGATGAAGGTGGAGAAGGAACAGAAAGAGTCAAGGACGCCCAAATTCACTCCGTTACAGCACAGCAGAAGGTGCCCGCTTTTCTGTTGATATTTGCTATTTTAAAAAATACAGGCCAAGCCCGGTGTGGTGGCTCATGCCTGTAATCCCAACACTTTGGGAGGCCGAGGCGGGCAAATCACCAGAGGTCAGGAGTTCAAGACCAGCTTTGCCAACATAGTAAAACCCAGTCTCTACTAAAAATACGAAAATTAGCTGGACATGGTGGCAGGCACTTGTAATACCAACTACTCGGGAGGCTAAGACAGGAGAATTGCTTGAACCTGGGAGGCGGAGGTTGCAGTGAGCCGAGACTGCACCACTGCACTCCAGTCTGGGTGACACAGCAAGACTCCGCCTCAAAAAAAAATAAATAAAATAAAAATAAAATGAAATGAAAAATACAGCAGGCTGGCTAAAAGCCAAGAGAATTCCACTTAAATGTCCTGATCCATAAGACATTCTCCTAAGGTTTTGCTGGACTTACTTTTCTGCTGAATTAGGCTTTGGTCATTCTAGTTTAGAAACTGTGACAGTCTTGTACAACAATGGTGACGGCACTTACTTGGAATCCTCCAGAATACAGCAATATAAAATTTGTGGTCCGAGCTTCTTGTTAGATACACTGAAATAGATGGATGCTGAATCTAATCCTGAGAGTTAGTTCTGTGGAGCACTCCCTAACAAAGCAGAGGGTCAGGGATGTACTTGTATCTACCCTTTTTAAAAAGTACCCCTACAGGACACAGAGGCTCAAACCTGTAATCCTAGCACTTTGGAGGGCAAGAAGGAGGATCACTTGAAGCCAGGAGTTCAAGATAAGCCTGGACAACATAGCCAGACCCTGTCTCTATAAAAAATTTAAAAATTAGCCCAGTTTGGTGTCATGTACCTGTAGACCCAGCTACTCAGCAGGATGAGACAGGAAGATCACTTGAGCCCACAGGTTCAAGGTTGCATTAAGCTATGATTATGCCACTGCACTCCAGCCTGGGCCACAAAGCAAGACCCTGTCTCTTAAAAAAATGAAAGAAAGAAAATAAACAGAAAAAAAGTACCCCTGAAAACAACAAAAAAGAGAAGTTTTGATTTATAAAGGGTACACGCTAACTACCACTACAAAAGCATGACTACTACCCCTGCACCATAGGGTCCCTGAAGCTCTGGGCCCAATTTTACACAAGTGGGCAGGCTCCATGACCTGTGGATAAGTCCACTAGGATCCTTATGTTTCTTTCCTGAATTGAACTATTGTCATTTAAGCTTCTGAGTGACCACGCGAGTACCTCACATGCATACATGCAATCATGAGGTTTGCTAGCCTCTTTCAGACCCCTGCACCCTCTTCTTTCCCCTGCTGTTGGAAGAAGGGTGGGGAGGTGGGCTCAGGCAGAGTAAATGGATGCAAGTGACACTTTTCTCCACAGTAAATGGCAACTGAACAGTCCCCACAAATGAAACACTGGCAGTGTGATTTATGTGGTCATTCATACGCAGGCTAGTGGAGAGAAGGGCATGATGGCCCTCTCACCTGAAAAGAAAACAGAGGGCCCCAAGGAAAGCTGACCACAGGGAACACCTTGAGCTACGAAGACAACTCAGAAGCAGTGTCCTCAGAGGAAAGCAGCCTCCCTGGAAATAGAGCTGTATCCCAGTGCAGAAGGCGGCGCAGAGGCTCTGGGGAAGCGCAGGTGCTACCACTTACTGTATGACCTCGGACAAGTCATTTCTGTTTTAGGTTCTCAGCATCTCCATCTGTGAAACAGTAGTTATGACCATGATACCACCACCAACAACCTATGTTGTTGTGAAGATCCACTGAAATATCAAATACACTGCATCAGACTCCAGGCTCAAACATGTTTCATTCATTGAGAATCTAACAACATGAAAAAATAAAGCAAATAACCAGTTGCACCAAGAATGAACTTTGAAATGACAGACTGCCTACTTTAAGATCAAAAATACAATGAGAAGCTTCTTTAAAGAAACTCAATTTTCCCTTGCATAGCAGTCATTTGGATAAACACCATTTAATCAGAAACCCTGTAAATCAGGGTAAAGTTATGCTGGTGGTGGGGGGGGGGGGGATACAAAAACAAGATTATCTTGTCACCCTCAGAAAGCTTACATTTGTTGAAGATTTACAAAAGTGCTGCTTTCATGATGGAGTCACTCGCAACATGGCTGCCTTTGAACTTCACTCTGTTGTCTATTCCCTAAGAGTAAGTGAGGAAACCATACTGTCGGAAACATTTTGCCATAAGTCCATCTTTTTGACCAGCTCACTTTCTGTGCCTCACTGTTACTTCTTGCACAAAGTAAAATAACTACAGGGCTCAGCTGGTTGGAGCAGCTCCGTAAGAAATTTAGGGTTCGGGGGCCACCCAGCAATTAATATCCTCTGATTTCCCTGTGAACCGCATACTTCACCACCATTTACCTTAAAACCCGGTCCTCAGTCTCCCTAGCTAAAAACTGGGCCCATAGTGGTTAGGCTTATCATTTGCTGAGAAAACAACGAAAGTAACACAACCTACTGGGTTTGGAGGCTGCTCATTAAGACTTAACAGATAAACAGATGTATGCCACCAGAGTAGTTTACTAACCTGATGATTACAATAAATAAAATAGTTGTCATCAATACAACTCTCCTTATTTTCTCTCAAGTCACCTGGATCGTTCTAATCCCGGGAACCCCGTATGCAGCGCCAGCCCCATGCCAAGGAGAAAAGATGGAGCCGGATTAAGCACCCAGGGCTAAGGAGACTAAGAGGCCACTGCCTGCAGGCCCTGCGGGAAAATACTCAGAATGCGGCAGGCGCAGCGATTCCTTAGAAAGTGCTGGCGTGGCCTCTCCTGACACAGAAAGCCGGCTCCTGGGTGCTTACAAAGGACTGGCCCGCACAACACCGCTACGCCTCGACCCGGCCACACTCCAGGAACCTCTCCTGAACTTCATCTTGATCACCGAAAACGACGCGGCCCCTCTACCCAGGCTGTCGGAGCCCAGGAGACCCTAAGGGACCTCAGCTCTTTCCGTAATTGCAGGAGAGGGGGTGGGCGGCTCCGCAGCAGGGCCTGCCCACCCCCCGCCCCCGTGGCACCGTCCTGAACAGCCACACCGGCATGTGCCAGGCCACAGGAACCTGGCTAAGGGATCACCTGTTCCCACAGGTGAGGCTGGCACGTCTCAGCGGGGATGGGGGTGTCGGCTGATGTCCCCAAAACGACTACTGCCCCAACAGGTCAACAAAAGTAAAAGAATCAGCGAAGAGACGCAAGACTTCTGGACGCGACAAAAAGCGAAGTGGGTTGCGAACTGGAGGGGACCCGCAGGTTTACTGCTCCTTTCAGAAGTTTGGGCTTAAGTTCCCAATGCCTGACAATGCGAGGGCAGGACCGTGGAAGGCAGGAGGGAAAAGGCTCTGGATAGGCCCGGGAAGGCTGGGTTGGCGGGCCCCCGCCGCAGCCCGGCCCTCCCAGGGCGCCCTGGAACACCTGCCGCCGAGGCCCCGCTCACCTTGAGATAGTCATTCTCCGAGCGCAGCTCCTCCATCTCCCGCAACAGCTCCTCTTCCTCCGCCGCTGGCACGAGTCGAGGCTGCTCGCCCAGGCTGAGCTCCCTGGGGGTCCCGGGGACGGGTCGCTCCAGCGGCGCGCGCCCCCTGGCATCCTCCGCCGCGCCGGGCCCCACGAACCCCCCGGAAACCCCGCCCGGGATGCTCCGGCCCCCGGGACAGGCGCTGGCGGCAAGAGGAGCGGCGAGGAGCGAGGGGGGCTCGGGGCTGCCAGGCGGCGCTCCCCGGGCTACCGGGCTCGGCGTCGGTGCTCCTCGCGAGGGTTCTCGGTCGCTGGAGCCTGTGCCGGATTCGGCATCGCTGCTAGCGGCAGGCAGCAGGCGCTGCTCGTCCGACAGGGGTTCGGAGGGGCAGTCGGAGAGGTCTGAGCTGCTGTCGGTGTGGCTGATGCGCGAGCCGCGGGCCGGGGAGCCGGCCACCGAGGTCACCGCGAGGGTCACGGCGGGGATCCGGGCGGCCGGGGTCAGAGGACCGATGGTGCGGGCGGGGGGCGCCCGGGAGCCGCGCTTGGCTTTGCGGCCCTTGGTAGCGGCGGGCGGCGGCTCGGCTCCGGGAGGCTTCCCAGCCCGGGACAACGGCTCCGCGGGCGCCACGCGCGCCGCCTTCCTGCTTCCCAAGGCAGCCTTGGCACCGCCCGCCGCTCTGGCCCCAACTCCCGGCGGGGGCTTGTCCTTCGCGCCCGGAACGCCGCCGCTTCGCCGGGAGAGGCGGCCGGGCGCCACCAGGGACCCCGGCGAGGGAGGCGCCTTGCCCGCGAGATTGGGCGAGCGTAGGGCGGCGGGCGCCGCGGCTCGGCCGGAGGAGGGGACCGCCGGACTGGGCGCAGCGGGCCGGGTGTGCAGGTCCTTGAGAAAGGGTCTGGCGGGCGAGGGCGCGCGGTGCAGCCGCCGCCTCTCGGCCAGAGGGTGGAGGTGGTGGTGGCGGTGGTGCTGGCCCGGAGGCTGCGGCTTCGCGTCCGGGGCGCCTCCGCCCGCGGGGCCGTTCAGCGTCTCCATGGCCGGGTCCGCGGGCAGCAGCTCGTGCGGCAGATGCTCCGGGAGGCGGCGGCGGCGGCGTGCAGCCTCCCCGCGCGCTCGCTCATCACTGTCCCAGCCCCGCCCGGGCTGCGCCCCGCGCTCCCGCCGTCACCCCACCACCCCCCCGCACCCCGGCCCGGAGGATTCCCGTGGGGCTCGCCGCCGCCGCCGCGCTCGCCCCTAGCTGAGGTCACCGCGGATCGAGTTCTCCCGGCTCAGCAGCGCGGCGGCTCCCAGCCGCTCGCATCCCCGGACCCCGCGCTCTGGGCTCGCGGGCACCGGTGCCGCGGCGGTGCTGGCGGCGCGCACCCGGCTACCGCGTCCCGCACCCCGCCCACCGCCGGCCCGCTCCGGCCCGCGCCCGCCCCCGCCGCTCCTGGCTGCGAGAAGCCGCACGCGCGCGCCCTGCCGCCCAGCGCCCTCGCCCGCCGCCGGTGCGCATGCCCCGCCTCTCGCCAGCCGGCGCCGTGCGGGGGAGTGGCGAGGGCAGGGGCGGGGCCTGCGCTTCCCAGGGGGCGGGGCGGGGCGGGCACCGGGCAGGGGCGGGCCCTTGGGGGCAGGCGTAGGCTGGGTCCACGCGCCCTCCCGGGGACCCTCCTTTCTTTTTGAGGCCCTAGAGACGCGGCCAGGAGCTAGGGAGGAGGAGAAGAGGCGGAGGTGAAGTGGTAAGGGGCGGCGGCGCCCACTTGGGAAAGGCTTGTGCTGCGGCTGACAACGCCCCCCTCAGGCCCCTCCATCCTCCGCCCGCCTCCCCGAGCCTGGTCCCCTCCCCCACTGTCCTCTCCAACCTGTGCCCCCGGTCCCCGCGCTCCTTAAGGATCGCTTGTACCCGACGCAACTCTCGCGTCAGAACGAGCACCGCAGGCGCTCCACAGTTGGCACCCCCGTGGCCTCGGGAGCTCAGAGGAGGAGGAGCTGCTGCCGAAACAGGAGGAGCCCTCGCCAAGCTGAGGGTCAGAAAGAGAACTCACATTTATAGTTCCGGCTGTGAGCCAGGCCTGCTGGCCACGTAATGGGCATTGCTTTATTTAAGCCTCACCACAATCCCGGATTGGAATTGCTTGCTGTCTTCGGTAAGGACGAGGGCACCGGCGCAGGGAGGTAAAGTCGCTTGCCTGTGATGCTTCACCCAGTCCCTGGCTGAGCGGGTTTAAACCCAGGTCCACAGGATTCCGAGTCCTGCAGGCTTTCATCTCAGAGAACCTGGAGCCCCGGCACCGGTTCTACCACTTGAGTCTCCCATGCGCAAAGCACTAGACCTTTCTGAGCCCCAGTTCCCTCGCCTGCATCATTAAAACGTACTGCCACCTGAGTATGTGTGAACACTGAGCAAATACCAGAACACACCGTGCAAACTGTAAAGTACTGTTCACATCCCATCGGGTGCAGTTTATGTCCCAGGCGTTGGATGTTGGCCAGTGCCCATATAAGCGCCAGCCTATCCTCTAGCCCTGGCATTGCGGGAGGCAGAGGGGCGGGTAATAATTCCAAGTCGCGAGGGCAGGAGCGTAACCCCGTCCGAGGAGGTTTGCATTTTCCTGTAAGAACAAGTTGGTCTCGCCGCTGAGGGCCCAGGACACAGTAGAGCCTGCAGAAAGCAGGGCCCCTAGGTGGCGAGGCAGGTAGGGTAGGGATTAGAGGAGAGACTGGAGGGTGCGTGGCACCAAATATCCTGCCAAGGCCGTTGGACCTTATCCTAGAGGCGGGAGCCACTAGGGGATTCTGAGCAAAATGATCTGATGTCCTCAGAAAGACCCCGGGCGCAGCAGCCTGGAGGAGAGGGAGGTGGGCCCCTGTAGCTGCGCGTGTCGGTGGCAATATGCGCGGTGAGGGGGCCGTGGGAGCAGGGACAGAGAAGATGTGGCCGACTCGCAAAAATAAAAGGAAAAAAAAATCGACTCCAAAGTCTGTGATCTTAACCACAGATTTACCCTACTTAGCCATCTCCTTCAAAAAAAATCCAGGATGAACTCTTTTTTTTTTTTTTTTGTAATCCTGTAAGTCAGGAGAGCCCTGCCCCCGGAAGTCGTCCTGCCTCGTCCTGGCCTGAGCTCAGGGGGCCTGAGACCTCTCCTAACCGCACAGCCGAAAGGCTTGAGAGGTGTCGGCCACCGAGCGCGCCGGACCGGCTGTCCCCAGAGGGCGCTCTAGCTCTCCCCTTCCCTCGGAGAGGGACCGCGGTCCGGCCAGAACACAACTGACCTCTGCCTAGAACCTCCAGAGACCCAGAAGTCTCCCATCCTCACATTTCCGAAGAATTATGGCCAGGACTCTCAACACAAGCTTGCCAGATTCTCATACCGTATACACTCAAGGGAAGGACCGCCCCCAAAATGTTTCAATACGTTAGTCTTCCAAAGGCAGTCGCTTGATGACCGTAGGATTTGCAGCCAGCTTCTCTTGCTTTCATGTTATAAGTCAGATAAAATTCATCCTCCTTATTATTATTAGCCTGGCAAATAGGACTACAAGCCCTTCATAAGGAAGTATTCAATCAATGCTTTCCTTTTTCTTTTTTATTCCTTTTTTTTTTTTTTTTTTTTTTTTTTTGCGAGATGGGGTCTTGCTATGTTGCACAGACTGAACTCGAACTTCCTGGGCTTAAGCCATCATCCCACCTCAGCCTCCCAAGTAGCTGGGACTACAGGCATGCAACAGCCAGCCCAACCAATAATGCTTGCTTTGTTTTCCAGTATTCAGTGAGTTACAGGTATAAAGAGATATCTGCTTACAGAATAGGTGTTTTTAAAATCACTCAAAAAAAAAAAAAAAAAAGAAAGAAAAAGAAAGAAAGAAAAAAAAGGAAAAAAGAAAGAAAGCAAGCAAGCAAAAGAAAGAAAGGCCAAGGCAAGCAGGTAGCTTGAGCTCACGAGTATGAAATTAGCCTGGGCAACATGGCAAAACACTGACTCTACAAAAGAAAAATAAAATAAGCTGGGCATGATGGTGCGCATCTGTAGTCCCAGCTATTTGTGAGGCTGAGGTGGGAAGATCCCTGGAGCCCAGGAGGGGAGGTTGCAGTGAGCCATGATCACTACAGCACTCCAGCCTCGGTGACCCAAGTGAAACCTGTGTCAAAAAAATGGGAAGGAAGGAAGGAAAGGAGGGAGGGAGGGAACAAAGGAAGGAAATACATGATTTTAAATTCTATTTCTGTTCAATCAAATTAATCTAAAGGTAATAGGGGATTTACTATTTAAGGGAACCGTAAAGTGCTGATTCTGTGAAAAACAAAGTCCAGCATGGGCGTGCCTGTTTTCACCTGTGTACCTCCAGATCCAGCCTTGCCCTTCCCTGGAAGGGTGGGTTTCCAGGCTGCTGGGTTTGCTGATTGGGTTTGGCCAGTGGAGGTGCTGTCAGGAGATGGGAGTGGACCCAGAAGGAGAAACCAGGTTATTTCTTTCTCTCTCTGCCGCAGGTGGCTTCTCTGGAAGTGTCTGGGTCTCTATGAGGAGTGGACTTTTGAAGTTCCAAGCATCACTGGATGGCCCGCTCCTCCTGGTACCTTTTCATCCTCCACCGCCTGTGTCGAGGGTGATACTGGCTTCCTGTGCTTGCAGACCTCCGGGTTGCTTCACTGTGGCTGGTTCCCTGCACTGCAACCCTGGGTTGTAAATGCTGGCACAAGGCCCAGGGCCCCATCATCTCATTCCTCTGCATAGGCCCAAGTACTGTTCTAGGGAGCCATGTACAGCAGTGGTGTGATGAGTAATGTTTGTGTGACTGTGTTCACATCCACTTTGTTCAAGAGTGGTGTGGTTTGGTGACAAGACCTGAGGCTTTGACACCAGGTAAATCTGGGAATCCTGCCCAAGTCATTTGCTGTCTGCATGGCCTTGGGTAAGGTATTATTATCAATGTCATCGTCATCATTATTTAACACCCGTGAAATAATCTTCAAAACTCTTAAAATATGAGCAAACCAGATTTCTCACTCAGATTCCAAACTCTCACTCAGAGAGTTAGAAATCTATTCTGTGTCTATACAGTTATATAAAGAGAAATGGATTCTTTTTTTACTTGGTTTGACTCATAGATGAAAAATAATGTGACTTATTTGGGACTCTACTTCACTCTGTACTCCCAGGCAGAATTATATGCAGAATTTCTACACCTTCAATACATTGTCCAAACCCAAGTGTATAGGTATCTTCCAGTTTTTCCCCTTATTTTAACAGAAAGACACATTTTAAATTGTGGGAGGGAACCCCTCAAGAGCCGAGGAAGGGTCTGAAGACTCAGCATGTTCTCATATAAACATAGAATTAGAAAAGAATTAGAGATATAGTTACATAGTTATCCTTCTATGTAATCATCAAATAATCACATAGCAATTCATATGTAATCATAAATATATACATATATAATCATATAATCTTTAATCTTACTAATAAGTCAAGAAGTATGGGACTGAAATGGCATTGGAAAAGAGGTGACCCTAAGGCAAGATGCTGTAAGCCCTCTGTCATGCCCGCATACGGGCTGCTGGAGGACGCCTCAGCTGTGCGACAGTGTCAGTGCTGTGAAAGTGCCCGCTGTGTAGCCAGCTAGGGACGGAGACATCCAAGATGGCCAAGACGTCTCCTTCCTGGGGGAGTGAGGAGAGAACTCTGCTCTCCCAAGCTCTTGCGGTGAGCCTAACGGCTGTCAGAGAGGCCCACAGACACCAGGGGCCTTCACTGTCCCTATGTGGTGCTGTGCATCGGCAGTCATGTTCCATGTCTACTTTCAAGTTCTGCTTCTGCACCTGGTTCCTCTTTTTCTTAGAAGATAAGAATTAATAATGATAACATAAATCTTAGTGACCTTGTTATTTCTTGACAAGTATGAAAAAAGTGCTGACGCCTTAGGTTTTCTCCTCACCTCGGCTTCTTCAAAGTCTTGGGCCCCTGTCTCCAAGACACCTGATTTACCTGATCCTGTCACTGACCACCATGACCTCATCCTATCTGCCCTGCACCCTGCTTTGTACTCAATAAAAGTCAGAGCATCCAGGCACTCGGGGCCACTGCTGGTCTCCGAGGTTTGGTACCAGTAGACCCCTGGGCCCAAACTCTGTTTTCTCTTTCTCTGTGTCTTGTGTCTTTTATTTCCACAGTTTCTCGTCTCCACATCAGCAGAGAGGGACTCACAGGACACTGTAGGACTGGACCCTATATAAAATATGAATGCATTCCTGGTTGAAGTCATGAGAAATCATCCCTTTTGAAAAGAGTGGCAAGAAGAAGAAATTTTCAGAGTGGGTGGTTTTTTGGGCACTGCAGGAAAGTTACCTTTAAAAAGGGACAACCCAGCTGGGCGCGGTAGCTCAAGCCTGTAATCCCAGCACTTTGGGAGGCCGAGGCGGGTGGATCACGAGGTCAAGAGATCGAGACCGTCCTGGTCAACGTGACAAAATGCCATCTCTACTAAAAAAAAAAAAAAAATACAAAATTATCTGGGCGTGGTGGCACGCACCTGTAGTCCCAGCTACTCAGGAGGCTGAGGCAGGAGAATTGCTTGAACCCAGGAGGCGGAGGTTGCGGTGAGCCGAGATCGCACCATTGCACTCCAGCCTGGGTAACAAGAGGGAAATTCCATCTCAAAAAAAAAAAAAAAAATTAAAAAAATTTTAATTGACAAATTTTAATTACATTCACAGAGGGCATCATGTTGTTTTGATATATGTATGCTAAAGCAGTATGTTTTTAGGGTTGTTTTAATATCAACTGGATTTTTTTTAGGAATAAAACCACAGTAGAAATCAAGACTGGGCCAGGCACCGTGGCTCGCGCCTGTAATCCCAGCACTTTGGGATGCCAAGGCAGGCGGATCATTTGCGGTCAGGAGTTTGAGCCCCTGCTCAACATGGTGAAACCCCATCTCTACCAAAAATACAAAAAATTGGCCAGGCGTGGTGGCACATGCCTGTAATTCCAGCTACTCCGGAGGCTGAGGCAGGAGAATCGCTTGAACCCAGGATGGGGAAGTTGTAGTGACCCAAGATCACACCACTGCACTACAGCCTGGGTGACACAGTGAGATTCTGTCTCAAAATAAAAATAAAAATAAAGTCAAAATAAAAATAAAAATAAAGGCTGTATTTTATTTGGAGATTTTCAATGCATTTTTTATCTTTGATCACTTCATTGAGGCAGTGCCACTCAAGGGATTGGAATCATGAACAGAACACACCTGTATTTGTCTCTGTTTTAGCAGCTGCTTCTATGTAAGCATCTGACTACTTCATTATGTATTTTGTAGTGTGTTTATACCTCTTTATATATTGAAATAGATACTATTTTGTTATAAGTTGCTTTCTTATTTCTTTTTTGTATTACCATTGGAAAAGTAGATCCGTCTTTTAAAATACAGGGTTATGGAAGTGACGACCACAAGTAGTGATTCTCATTTCAAGAAATCAAGAGCATTTGTAAGGAAAGTGGGGTTCCGTCCGGGACTAGCAGGGTTGAGAAAGAGACATCTGCACGGGGCCGCTATGTCCTGGCGGGTGCCCCCTCGTGGTGGCTGTTGGGATGGCACCCTTCCCCACAGGGATAAAATAGAATCCATTATAGAGCGGTCAGTCCCACCGTGATGGGAGTGTGTGTAATTTAAAACAGCCTCCAGGTGGTTCTAAGAATCTTCTTTCGTCAAGGGAGGTAGAATTCCCTTATACAACCTTTTGGTATCGTTGCTACATATTTGCAATCTTTTGGCACGTTGCCTTGAAATTGAACATTTGAACTCATTTTCTTTTAAAACATAACTGCTAAACTTTAAAAAAGTATCCTGGGATTCTAAGCTTGCTCAGAACAGGGAAAATACGCTGTTATGTAAGGGAAACTAATCAAAGTTCTCTACTTATCCTGGTCAGCAGCATATGTTTCCAAAAAATTTAAGAGAAATTAACGGGTTAATTGAGAGCATTCTACATCTCACCATGTTTGCTTTCATCATAATTCACCATTGCTGATTTCTCTACCTACAGAGTTGCTGAACCCGGCTTGATTGCCTCATAGAACTGAAACCTGAGGAACTTACATTTGTTTTGTGTGAGTTTCTTTCTCAGGAAACGGACCATCAGGACTCCCAGACAGGATCAGGGAACTGAAACTTTTCAGATCATGGCATCCAGTCATGAGATGTACCTGCTGCCTGTTGACCAACACGCCTTCCTTACCCCTCCCTAACTCCCTGCTTTGTAAGCCCCTAACTTTAGTTGGTTAGGGAGACAGGTTTGAAACTCGTCTCCTGTATCTCAGCTGACGTCACCTGCATTAAAGCCTTTCTTCCTCAGCAATACTCATCATCTCAGTAATTGGCTTTCTGTACAGTGACAACCAGACCTGGCCCAAACCCCTGTCATCTGGCAGCATTATTACCCATCAAAACAGAAATAGAGATTTGAAATAAGGGATGCCAGTTCCCATTTCTTCCTGCTGTCTGGAAGGAAGTCTGGCTTTCCAGCCCAACTCTAATGCTCATCTTTACACACAAAATAAGGGTGTGTTTACATGGAAAGCCAAAATAGAACCATGGGTTTATAGAAGGTTCCATAGCAGCAAATAACAGTGTTTATGAAATAAACATTTTAAGTATCATTCCTGTGTAAAATTATTGTCAGGCATACTTTACCAGTGAAGAGATAGAACAATGTGGGTTCTAGGCCTCGACACAATGATCTGTTCAGTGACCTTGCACAAAATAGGCTCCGTCTTCCTGGGCCTTAGAGGCCTTGTCTATACAATTAAGAAGTTGGCCAGGTGCAGCGGCTCACACCTGTAATCCCAGCACTTTGGGAGGCTGTGGTGGGCTGATCACAAGGTCAGGAGTTCGAGACCAGCCTGGCCAACATGGCGAAACCCTGTCTCTACTAAAAATCCAAAAAATAAAATAAAGGAGTTAAATTTAAATAAGATTTAATATTATTCCCGACTTTATAAATCTGAGAGTTAAGGTTGACTTAAAAGTGCTATTTTTATTACTTTTTACATTACCCTTTTTCTTTTATTTAAATTTTGAAACGGAGTTTTGCTCTTGTTGCCCAGGCTGGAGTACAATGGTGCGATCTGGGCTCACTGCAACCTCTGCCTCCCAGGTTCCAGTTATTCTCCTGCCTCAGCCTCCCGAGTAGCTGCGATTATATGCACATGCCACCAAGCCCAGCTAATTTTTCATATTTTTAGTACAGACGGGGTTTCACCATGTTGGCCAGGCTGGTCTCGAACTCCTGACCTCGGATGATCCACCCTCCTCGGGCTCCCAAAGTGCTGGGATTACAAGTGTGAGCCACTGCACCCTGCCCTTTTTATATTACTTTTAATGGTGAAAACTGCAATTGCTTTGCACCAACGTAATAATTATCCATATGGGATTATTCACAATAAATTGTAGGTCACCTGTGTTCCGTCATTTTTGTAACATCATAAAGAAATATCTGAGGCTGGGTAATTTATAAAGGCAAAAGGGTTAATTGGCTTATGGTTCTGCAGGCTGTGTCAGCCTGGCTCCAGCATCTGCTTCTGGTGAGGGCCTCAGGGAGCTTCCAATTATGGTTTAAGGTGACAGAGAGCAGGCATCACATGATGAGCATGGGAGCAAGGGTTGGGGGAGGTGCCACATACTTCTAAACAACCAGATCTCATGTGAACTCAGAGTGAGAACTCACTCACCACCAAGGGATGGTGCTAAGCCACTCATGAAGAATTCACCCCCAGGATTCAAACGCCTCCCACCAGGCCCACTTCCAACATTGGAGGTCACAGTTCAATGTGAGATTTGGAAAGGACAAAACATCCAAACTGTGTCATCACCTCTGTACATCCTCAAACAAAATATACTCAAATACATATACTAAAATAGCATAATTAAGGAGGTTAATATGATGGAATTAATATAACAAGTGCTGGTAAGTCAAAAAAAAAACAAACTCAGTTGTCTCCCACTCTGCCCTCACAGCATGCTTCTGATGCCAGACGTGTGGGGATTTTTCCCCAGCAAGCAAGCAAGCAACGAATTCTGCAGTGGACACCACTTGGTGTCCTCTAGTTCAA